CCGACGGAGGAGACAGGGAGTTCAGCAGCACCCCCACAAGCGTCCCGCTTAGAGCCATGGGGACCAACAGATTCAGCCACATCTGAAACGCATGCAGCAGCAACCAATGCATGCATGCATGCATGCATGCACACTCGTTGCAGCCCCGCAGCAGCAGCAGAAACAGCAACAGCAGCAGCAGCAGCAGCAGCAGCAGCAGCAACAACAGCAGCAGCAGCAGCAGGCACACGCACCTCATCTACTGCTGAAAGGCCATCCCGTATTTCCCTCCTCCGATGCATGTAAGTACCCGTAAACGCTGAGCAGCAAACCATAACCTGCAGCAGCAACAGCAGCAGCAGCAGCAGCAGCAGAAAAAGTAGCAGCAGCAATGGCAGCAGCAGCAGCAGCACCAGCATCAAAAGTAGCAATAGCAATGGCAGCAGCAGCAGCAGCAGCAACAGCAGCAGGAACAGCAAACTGCAGCAGTACCAACTGCAGCAGCAACAGCAGCAGCAACAGCAGCAGCAGCAGCAGCAGCAGCAGTTGTATATATTACCTTGCTGAGGGGAATAGCATCTCTGACTTTAAGCTTAAGGGCCCCCAACAGAACAGCGAGAAACACAGCTCCCCCGCCAGTACCCCCCGTTGCTGCTAGGGCCCCCGTACCCAGCAGCAGCACAACCCCACTGACGAGGGCCCCCAAAGAAGAGGGCACCACACCCTCATTCACTGCATTCATATAAAAACCCCAAATACCCCCATCCACAGACACAGCGGGGGCCCCCTCAGATACTCCTTCTGCAGAACCCTCACCCCCCGTACCCTCGCCGGGGGCCCCTCCGGGGGCCCCTCCTGCGGAATCTCCCCGGGGCCCTCCTGGGGCCTCGGTGGGGCCCTCAAGAGGGGCCCCGGAAGGGTTCTCAGCGCCACTTGGTGAAGCCTCAGGGGCCCCTGGAGGAGGGGCCCCCGGAGGAGGGGCCCCCGGAGGGGGCGGGGCCGGGAGAGGGGCCCCCGGAGGAGGGGCCCCCGGAGGAGGGGCCCCCGGGAGAGGGGCCCCCGGGGGAGGGGGCCCCGGAGGAGGGGCCCCCTGCGGAGGAGCTCCTGGGTGGGGGGCCCCTGAGGCCCCCTCCAGGGCATCCTCTTTAGCTGCCGTAGACTCATGTGTGTGGGTGGAGGCAGCTGGGGTGTCAGCAGCAGCAGCAGCAGCAGCAGCAGCAGGAGCTGAGTTCGCTTCTTGCTGCGGCTGCTGCTGCTGCTGCTGCGCTGCTTCGTTCTGATGCTGCTGCGGCTCCAGCTGCTCTGGTTGCGGTGGGTGCAGTTGCTGCTGCTGTTGCTGCTGCTGCTGTTGCTGCTGCGGCAGTTGCTGATGCTGTTCCTGCTGCAACTGCAGCAGCTGTTGCTGCGGTTGTTGCTGTTGAGGCTGCTGCTGCGTCTCCTGTAGCTGCTGCTGCTGCTGCTCTTGCTGCAGCATATGCTGCTGACCCTCAGAGTTGCTGGTGTCCTCCATACCCCCATATCCCGCCGGGGGCCCTTGCGGCTCCTTGGGTGCAGAAGGGGGCCCCTCTATCACGGGGGCCCCCTCTACCATGGGGGCCCCCCCGGTCATGGGGGGCCCCCCTGTCGTGGGGGGCCCCCCTGTCATCGGGGGCCCCTCTGGCTGCCTTGGGGGTACAGTTTCGATGTCATCTGCATGCGCTAAGCTGGATGAAAGAGGAGGGGGGCCCCCAGCAACTGAGTGACCCCCAAGAAACTCATTAGGGAGGGGAGAAGAAGGAGACAGCGGAGACGCCGCAGCCCTCGCAGCTGAACCCTCGGCCAGCAGGGGGGCCCCCGAATCCCTCGGGGCCCCCCCTTGGGGCCCCCCTACTCCTGAAGCAAGGGGCCCCACATGATCTGTTGTGGCTGCACCAGGAGCCTCAGGAGCCGCGGCGGGGGCCCCCAACACACCAGAGGAGACCGGGGGCCCCTGGGGCCCCTGGGGCCCCCTTGCGTTGAGCACTGCGGGTTCTGAAGGGCCCCCAAGCGTTGGCAGAGGTGCAGAGACGTCCCCTGCAGCAGACGGGGGGCCCCAGGGAGAGGAGAGCTGAGAAGCAGCAGTTAGCTGGGGGGCCCCTGAGGGGGCCCCCCCTAGAGAAGTTGCAGCGAGAACGTAGGAGAAGAGGAAAGAGGAGACTGTTAGTATGAGGCCCCAAATGAGGCAGCAATGGTTGCAGGGGGATATGAACGTCATTTGGTTGGGGTGTACATACACCTGAGTTGACACCCCAGCAGCGCTGCAGCAACAGCTGCAGCAGGAGCAGCTGCGCTTGTTTGGGGGCCTCAGAAGCCCATAGCTGGGAATAAAGAAAGTAATATGAATAACAAAATTAAATTAATTATTATTTAAAAAATATATACAGAGAAAGGGGGCCCCCTTCTGTGCTTCTCTACATACACCCGAGCACGCCCGGGGGCCCGGGGGCCCTTGGTTCCTTTGCTGCTGTTGCTGCTGCTGCTGCTGCTGTTGCTGCTGCTGTTGCTGCTGCTGTTGCTGATTTCCCTTTTTATAAATAATGACACAGGGAGCTTGGGCTCCATATTAAAGAGATTCGGCTCTACCGTATAACCGTAAACCCTAAACCCTAAACCCTAAACCCTAAACCCTAGTCCGCCGTCTCCTTCCCGTTGCTCGACTCTATAGGGTTTAGGGTTTATATTTGAGTGCTTAAGGATTGGGTCTTCTAGGTTTTAGGGTTTAGGGTTTAGGGTTTAGTGGGTGTTGCGCTCACCGCCTCCTCTCCCGAGGCACCACAGCAGCTCACCAACAAAGGAGGAATCCTAGCTGTTGCTGCTGGGGTGTATGTACACCGTAGCCAGTTTCTGCGTAGCTTTCTAGGGTGTACGTACACCCCATGCAGTCTATAAAGGGGGTTCTAGTGGGGTTGTAAGAGTTTATTTAATAGACAGCGCAACAACTTTGTCTTCACTTCCTAGAGGGTGTTAGGGTTTAGGGTTTAGGGTTTAGGGTTTAGGGTTTAGGGTTTAGGTAGATAGAGGTACCCCAAAGATACCACGAACGAACTCCTTTCTGCTGCTCCCTGCACAGGGGGGCGCTGCTGACGCCTGAACCCTTGTGGGGGCCCCTAGGGGCCCCCATAAGCGCTCACCATCAGAGAACAGGGGCCCCTAGGGGCCCCTGCTGTTTAATACAATTGGGGGCCCCCTTTGTTTAATGCCATTGGGGGCCCCTGTTGCTTAATGCCTTCGGGCGTTGCTGGTTCTCTCTCAATACAGCTGCAGCAAAGGTGTGTGTGTGTGTGTGTGTGTGTGTGTTTTTTTTTTTTTTTTTTTTTTTTTTTTT